GGGGTGTTCCTGCGGCATAGCACTGCTTTTACACCTCATTTCCCATTTAGTTCTAGTCGGATCAGCCTCTAGAACGACACTGGCCTACAAGTAATTCTTACAAGTTTACTGCAGTAAACCCCTATATACTACTTCTTTATTCTTCCTTTCTCCTACTTTTTACTTTTCTGTGACGGTGTCCCCATAATTCAGTGATTCATGAAGTGGGTCTTAGCGCATGAAAAAATAAATAAACAAATAATTAACTACTTGTCGTTTTTACCTAGCCCGTTGCTTTTCAAGGCATCCACAAAACTAGACTATTCTTAATTTAAATGCTACAGTGAAAATCTCACGAACTGGTCAAAGAGTTATTTTGGCTAATGGTACGATAGCGATGGCTGAGGGGTCTCGACCAGATTATGCCTGTCAACATAAAGCTGTTCCTTTTTCTAACTCCTACCATCAGGAACTATGAAAGTATGGACGAGTTACTTGGGCAGAAATTCAGAACATGGCTCTCATCTGACAAATAGACATATTAGCGTCGGAAGTGGTGTGGTAACAGTGGTAACAAGCATCGGGACGGAAAATGTCAAAAAATATTACTAGTTGGATAGTTGGACTGTAAACAAGTCAAACACAATATAGTCTGTTACCCAAATTGTGAAATATGAAGGAACTCCATTATATTCCAGGGAAACCGTGGTGAATGAAAATGGAACATAACAGCCACATACGATGACAACAGGCTGCATTGTAACCGAGTGAAAAGCTTTCTCAAACCTGCTTCAAAATTTCTTTTGAATTTTAAAAAGTTTCAAATTTTAAAACTCGAACAAATTTTGAAATTTCAAATTCGAAATTTCCAAACAATTTCTCAAAAACTGTTCGACTACTCACTAAAACTATCTTACCCATAGTCTAACTTACTGAAAACCCGCATTAAAAATAAAATTTCCAAAAAGTCCTTGGACAGACTCTTTCGAAGAAAATAATGAAAACTAAGTTTCAAGAGAAGATTTTCCCTGAATTCTTTGAATATATTGCTGTTTGGTGTACTTTATCTTTCAGTGTAATACTTTGGAATGTTTCAGTGAGAAGTCAGTTTTGAAAAAAAAACCTTACTACTTACAATTCGATCAGAAAACAGAATACGAAAGAGTAAAAGTGATGTAAGTAAGAGCGATGTAGACTGTTGAGTAGAAGAGTAATATGGCACTTGAATAGAATGCTTCTCGCACCGGATGAGTGCTCATCCCTCCAGTGCTGTGCACTTCGATAGCAACCCTTGTTAACGCTAACAACTCAATACACCACATACTAATAGACAAAAAAAAGCAAGGCTTAGAATTTTTACATACCCATTTAATAAAAAAAAATAAATTATAATAATTAGTTGAATGAAAACAAAACGAAATTATTATACAATTATCATGAGCGAAAACAAAACAAAATCCTCAACTAGGGAACAAACGGCACCTCTACATAGGTGTGCATGAAAAAATGTGTCATTATCGGGACATATGAGGGATGCGCCTCACATTCGACTCCCATTCAGAATCGTTGGCCTATACAATGACTTGCGGTGGCTAGCCGATGTACAAGTCAGTGCTTTTATCCTCCCAGAAGAGTCTGGTACCAATTAACCAACCCTGGAGGGATGAAAAGCTCGGTTGGCCCGAGCGAATATCGATCTGCGATTCGAACCCCTGACCGTGCTTGTAAGATAGTGCGCCACTTGTCACTTCACCACTTCCGCCTGATGACTCCATATATATTTAGTAATGATTATTTTTCAATTTGTTATCATTTTTATTATTTTTTATTAATTATTAATTATTTATTAATTATTAATATTAAATACTATTACTATATATTATTACTATATACTATTACTATTAATAATGAAAAATGATAATTTCCAACGATATTCATAATGAAAGAATCAAGTCTTTACCGTCAAAAGCAGTTTAGACTGTGGAATGCGCCGCGTGTTCTAATTTCATTCAAAAAAAAATGATGGCAATACATTATAATGCAATACAAGACAGTACAATTAATAGCATTACAAGTATTAATAACAGGTATGTTGTACTACATCCGACTTGATTCTAGAAGATACTAGACAACAATATAAAGAAAAATAGTCAGGATGGAATTAGTGCTCGTCAAAAGCGCTATGAGTGCCTACTCTCCTCTTATCCTAATCTAATGAGCTTTGATCGAAAGTGCCTGCCACTCACCCTCTAATGGGCTCTCACATTTTATTCGCCTGTATCGGCTACGGCATCAATTTATTCCATCATGCAGCATTCATGGGATAACCCCGTGTTTCAAGGGCTCCATAGGTAAAAATTGGGATGGCTCAAGAAATAGCATGTCGTCATCAAAATGAATGAAATCAGATAAAAAAATGGTAGAATTTTTTTATTTATTTTCAAGCAAGTCTATATAATTTTTGGTCGAATAGGGTTATTCGCAAAAGCATACACTGGACTAAAAAAGGATCAAAAATAGTTCGATTCAGTCTTGTTGCATGATATCGATTACTTGGCCTGTTGCAACCTAACGACCCAGGGCGAGCGGTGTGCATGGACCGCCTGTGATTGGTCAATGTAAACAATTCACCAATCGCCGGTTCGCACGGTTTTCACCCGATTTCGGCTGTCTTGTCAATATCGAGAATCTTTTTCCAGTAAAGCTTACTGTACAGCGTAATAAAAATATGTCTAGACCTAAATTCGGGATAAGCTCTGTGCGAACACTCATTAATAATTTACTAGACATTTTGAAAAATTACGTTGTTAACAGGCTCGAATCTGTTGACACATTTCTGACTGAGTTATGCTGTAAAGACCACCCAAAATTACAAAAGAAAATTGACATTAACATTGATAGGCTGATAACTCCAGAACTGTTATCGCTGCATCATAACTTTGCATGATTACTAAAAACCACCAAAGTTACGGGTTCTGGACAACAATAAATAAGAAGGAAAATAAAAATTCTGGTTACTTGAGCAGCCACAAACTGGCTAAATCTAGCACAGCCCGCTAACAGTGAAGCTGTCCATTAGAATTACTGAGTAGTTAAATAACAATTTATAAATAACATGAAAAGCGTGAAAAAAGGACGAGTTTCCGAGAGCAATGCAGACGATTTGCTGCAATTACGGGATGAATCAGTGAGACACACTTTAACAAAAATAACTAACATAATTTAAGAAGTAAAAGCAATCACATTTCGGACGGATACAATTGAAATGAGGATGAGAAAATAGTTTTAAAAACGAAAATCGATGCGATCAATAATACTGCGAGGCTTTTGACAACGGCTGTGAACAAGCTGGCGCATCGATTTCTGCTCAATTGCGATAGGGAGAGCGAAAGAGCAATGCCAAAGGATATTAACTGGTGGAAGGGGGAATCGATAGATCTTGTCATCATCAGCTGTTCTTGAAGGTTACTAATCTTATCAACGTCATTTTACTTCAGTAATAATCTAGTAAAGGTTTTCAGACAGTGTTTTCCATGAGAAATCGCTGTGAATAAACGATTTCATGGGACGAGCTTGATGGTACAGCTGTCAAGGGCAGAGGTCTACTGGCGGACGACAGATGGGAACGTCGACAAAAACCGACAAACATCTAATTGATGAATTACTTCTCACTACCATTACTTTTTAGTAATACAGTAATGAAAAAGGAAGGAATTGCAAGAGCATTTGGGCCACCCCTCACGCATAATTCGTCGGGTCGATAAACAGCCATGGGGCGCTTATTGACTATGACCTTATGACGTGACCTCCTTATCCATATTGATCATGCAGGCATTACTTGAGTAATATATGATTACTGCTTTGCAGTAATCGTCTTAGTTGATTACTTTGTAATGTGTTTATTCGTATTCTGCGAATGTTTGTTGTTTTTTTCTAGATGACGGCACCGTATTCAATAATTATCCTCCATATGCATGCAAAATGAGTCACGACCGCCTCCTCGACCACCTAGGCAACCACCTGCTTCTTTGTCTTCTCCGATTAACATTAGTGATGAGTCAAACACTTGAGTAACAGTGAAGAGGAGGATGATTTCCTTCTGAATGAGAAGAGGGGGGTCATCACCTCCTGTGGGACCTCCAGACTGAAACAGGAACTTCTGGAGGTACAATGAGCTTCGAGTGTTTTTCAGTGAGTAGTAAAATTTCCCCTAGATGTTCCACGAAGTTTTTTCTTAGCCAGAGCGCTTTTGATGTTGACTTAAGACAGAGCTTTGATATCGTTGCTGATGTTTGCATAGCATTATGATGTCGTGACTCAGTGTAAGCGTGACTATCCCCCAGCCACAACCCTTTCTCGTGTCTTTCAGCGTAAAGCTCCATCTATTGTCCTGTCTCTTATATGCTCTGCAAAAACTATTTCTAAGACCTTTTTCCACTTGGAAACCCTTTTCAAATTCACCATTCATTTTCAACCAGAAGAAATTCGTTCTCGACAGTGATACGGAGTGATAATGACTGATTTCCTTGACACGATGGTGATGCGTCATCACCATCACAACCCAAAAAACTGGCTAATGACTAATGCTGTCCTCCCACGTTGCATGAAATCGAATTCAAATGAAAAGCGCTCGGGCGAAAAGCAGGGCCACCCACCTTGCGGTTGCAGCTTTCGTGCTACAATCGCGATCCGCTCAGCCCGTGCTCGAACACCCAGACAACCCATGGTCGCGGTGTGAATTTGGCTCATCCCAGCTACATTGGGACGTGATTTTCTGGCCCCAAACTCCTTTATCCCACCAGAAATGGTCATTATCCACCGTCCATGTCACCCATAAGGCTTGGGGTGGGAAACGCGCTCAAAACCGCGATTCGCACACACACTCAGTTTCTTATCACGCACATATACACACATACACACACACACAGACACACAGTGCTTAGCACCTTTGTGACGTTTTGAGCCTCGTTATCACCTCGGCACACAGGCGATGCCATTCTTCTTCACCGCACAACGACGACATGCACACAAATACTGAATCGCATGACGACGAGGATAGCCACCATGGTGAGCCGCCTTCAGAATATCCGCTGATGTTGATAAATAAGATTTAATAAAATCTTATTATCCCAATGAAGAGCTGGTGATTGGTTGAAGCTGGCATACACTGTCGGCCATTCGATCACCTCCGGTCCGCAAAATTCCGTACGGTAGTGATGGGAACTAAGCCGTCATTGTTTATGACCGACTTCGTGGGTGGTTCACGGAAGCCTACCGCAACCCCCTTATCGTAATTGGAATCAGTTTTAGTCGTAAAAATCGTAAAAACCTGATATTCCGTTACTGTTATTATTGCGATAAAAATGCTCAAAGAATATTCTTTTTTTCGTGCGATGTAGTTGTGTGATGCTCATTAAATCGATTGCTACTGGGTGGTCGGCCCTGTTCACTGAATCACGCCCTTTTGATGCTGTATACTTTTCACTTTCACGATTATTCATTCGTCTATAAGTTTTCTAATAAGTATTTATTTATACTATTTATTTATTACCTAGGTTGTCGTTCAAGAATGCGGCCATTGTCACAATCATGGTATTACTGGGCCATGGTCGCCTTACTTCTAGCTCAAGTGAGTTTTTGAATTCTTATCTTTTTGATTTCGATGACTTTCGAACTAGTTCTTACTGCTTCTTAATTTATCACCTGGAAAAAGCTTTCCTTATCGACTAACGAACATTTCATAATAGCTAGTGTCTAGAAGAGCAAATCAAAAGATCAAACATTATCATGAATATTTAGATGTTTTTATCAGTCAACTATCACATATTAATCTGTAATATGCCTATAGCTAATACATTGTTATTACTTGTTATCATGGCTCATCATGGATACTCTCTCGGAGATCAAGCCCGCCCACTTTTTCACCGGTCAGTTCGATTTTCCTCAAATTCCAAGTTTCCATGTTCTTATACAACAATTCTACATTAAGAATTTCAATTCACTATTATTTATTGGTTTGACTGGTTACTGGTTGTAGAGTAACCTATTTTGTTTAGGATATGTGGATGTGTAGCATTTATAGCTGTGCTATTTGTGAATACTACTCATGCTCTAGAACTACTAACAGATTACGCTGAAGGTGGTAATAGTTCACATTCACATGGTGCTTCGGATCACGACCATGGAGAGGAGCATGGATATGGTTTTGTTCCGAGTAAGTTATTACTACTTATCAAAAGCGTTACTATTCTACTGGTTGAGG